GTCATAAATGTGGAAAGAAAATAAATATTCAGAAGTAGATGATATTATTTGTTTCAGAAGTAGCCACTTGGAGCAGATACTTGTTGATTTGTAGTAGATTTCAAAAGCGCGTCAAAGGAATTCGAGCAGAATTCTTTTGAGACAGTAATTCGATCACCTGTAACACTTACTGTTTACTGCTGTTTTGCCGACTTGGAGATGTATTTTGTCTAGTAGAAGCTCGAACCACCATTGTCCAGTATTCCCCAGTTGATTTCCTTGCTATTCCATCATCCTTAGATTTAACATCCTTTGATCCAGTAACATATCCAGCAGTTTCCCCGTTACTGCTGAAATTTTCAGCTTGCAAAGCAATCTCACGATCCTCCTTGTCACTTTTAGGTTCAGCAGCTGCTTGTGAATCTTCCTTTTGCACAACCTGCTCGCTTCCGTCCTTCAAAAGAGCTATTTGTGCACCAGTAGTAGATTGATTAGCAATTAGCTGAGTAACATCCTATTGATTTATCAGTTGTTTTACCCAATGTAACAATAGGTCGATCACCATCTGTTGCACCAGCTTTTGCCTTCTCATGTGCAAACTGTTGTACATTAGTTTGCCCCTGTCCTTTTTGTCCAGCACTTGGACCTGTAGCAACACCAGCCTGCTCGTTAACCTCCACTTGTCGCTGCACCTCGACTTTAGATTTCTAAAGATTTTGCACATCCTCCGACTTCTTTTGATTATTCCTCATAAGCACAACATTGTCCATAGCGACTAGACATGAGTTACTCTGCCCAGCAACAGCTACATCCTATGAAAATCTAGCAAAAGCTGTTTCAATAGGAACTATAGCAGTATTAGCGACAGTTGCTACATGTGATGTCTTAAACGGATTTTCAGCATACTCATGATCCCCCTGATGTGATTTTGAAGCCTGTGTAGCAGCTGCAGGATTAATCTGCTCTCCAACCCTTCCATCACCTTCTTTCAAAGCCCTCTTCTCCTTCAAAAATAGACGCAAATCACCACTGTATTTTTTCCCAACAGCCTGTTCATGACAGCGCTATATATGTTGATGTTGAATTGATGTTTTTAATCATCTCTCCCATAACTTGAAGCTGGAGAGAGGGATGTGCATCTTAGAAATTCCTCTTTCTTTTGTGATGCATCAGGATGAAGAATTTTGAAGGCAACAGGGGTATGATCAAGGTTGCCTTTGTAAACTTTCCCATAGCCCCCTTCGCCAATCATCTTTGAGTCAGAAAAAAAATCAGTAGCCACCTCAATCTCTTCTTTGCTTTAGCTGCTGTTTTCCTTAGGCTTTCTTCTCTTTTCTGGGCTGCATTCACTCTTCTTGCTTCTTCAAGGCATTCAGAAGAAGTAGCTGGACCTGAAAGATAGCTAGAGGGTTACGTTCAGATATGGTTGGTAACCGTGGAAGTGTTTAGATGGTTCAAAAAAAATCTTGATTATAAATGTAGGATACAACTATTTTTTTTCTTTGTTGACTTTTATGGAACTTTTCATTTGGTGAAAGATTTTTCCAGCTATGGGGCTAATATTTCTCTTCTGGATACTTGTTATCCCATCAGTTGCTTTATTCTTTATTTTTGGAGGCTTGAGGGGGTAAGAAATTCCCTTGTCCTTGTGATTATAAAATAATTTTTAGAGCCTATAAAGGAAGTTTTTGCAAATATGCTGTGGTGAATTCAGTTATGGTTGTCCCAAGGTGTAAATTTATCCACCGGTTTGTAGAGGAAAACATGATAATATGCAGAAGTTTGGCAACAAAATAATGTCGGTACTTGGGAAAAAAATCAGTTCTGTTTATTGGAAACTTCATATTAAAATGGTTATGATCATTGTCACTGAAAAATCTATTGACATTCTTGGCTAAATTTTGAGGTATGTTAAACTTTTATTTAATCTTACTTGACTTGTTAAAACTTATTTTAGTGTTCGATCTATCTTGACTTGTAAGTGATGTGTAATAATATTTTTTTGACAGTCTGAACTTCAGAATCGCCAAAGTTCTGGAGAAACAGCGGATGATGCATTTAGGGCTGTATTTGGAAAGGAGCAGCCTGGTCGGGTTAGATGCTATGGTAGATCGGTGACGACAAGCTCCCTGAAAAAAGATGAAATCACCAAGCTTAAACAAAAGCATGCCAATGAAATAAGTTCTCTGAAGGAAGAAATGAAGGAAATGATGAGGGAAGAAATGCGATGTTTTTTTAGTCAATTGGTGAAAAATAACCCTGGACTAGATTTTCATGATATACAAGGGTGTGTTGGATCTAATATTCCTTCACCGGTTGATGCAAGTTGTGCACGAGCTATGAGAGGCAAAAATCTACAACATTCTTCTGGCTCAACTCATGCCCCGAGTATTGAAAAGGTATTTATATTTTACAATTCCATTAAAACTACCTCAATCTTAAGTAACTTACACAATCATACTTTCTATAAATGTGTGATAGGAAGCTGAATTATTGTCATGACTAAGATTCTAGGGGTCATAATATTTGAAAGTAGACTATAGAAAAAATATTTGCAGAGTTGGTTATTGTTATCTCAATAGGTATTTTATTTCTTTGAGGAGATCATTTTGGAACAGTGTTATCTATAAATATTTTAAGTTCATGTATAATGATTTCTTAATAAGCACACAAGGTTTAATGCAATGATTTGAGGCACAAAAAGAAAATATCAAGATTGTTAAGCATGTAAAATTGACTTGTAACAGGCACTGAACAATAGGCTATAAAATAAGACATTGTAAACTTAGTTACCATCACCAAATTTAAACTGAAAAATGTGCTCTAAAGAGGAAAAGAAAACACTATAGAATAAAAATGGTGAAACTGTAGTATCAGAGATTATGTTTGAGTAGAGGCTTTGAGCTTCTTAGCGATAGGAAGTAGTCAAAGATTTGTGTTTGACAAGAGTATTCCAATCCTTGTGAAGGGTCTGTCAATTGTCCTTCTAATTTTTATATATTTCGTGAGAAGCGATCGTAGAAAAGCTTTAAACATTAAATTTGGAGCAGTGACATCCTTCCCAAATAGGGAAATGTGGAAAATTAATGGATAAGTGATTTTGAGATCTTGTACTAGTTCTAGTACATGTGCCATGAAAATCAATCTTTGTAATATATCTACTCACTCTTACTCTATGCAGATAACTAGTCAGAGATAACTACTCACTTAGTTCTTAGTAAGATAAGATATAACCAGTGCATACTATATATGTTTCTTCCTAATTTTTAATTTCATTTTGAATGTGTAGGAAAATACGGATGATGCAATTGGAAATGGTGGCCACAAATCAATTTGAATCATTAAAGTGAATGGTGAAGGCCTTTTGAACAAGATGTTTATTTTTGTTGACACTATAAATATAAGTACATTTGGTTTTGTAGAGGTCTTTGCTAGTGAACTTTATTACTATAGATAGTACACAAAGTGTGTTTCTTTTGTTGAAATTTATTTCAAGTATATGCATTTGAATTATTTTTATTCTATTACTTATCATTTAAATTAATGCTTCATATATATATATATGTGTGTGTGTTTGTGTGTGTGTGTGTGTGAGAGAGAGAGAGAACTTGATGCAAACAAATATAGTTTTTTAACCACAAAATTGTGGCTAATATAAGTATTTAAAAAATAACTTTGTAGTGTAGACAAAATCGCCACACTTAGAAAGTGTGGCCATAGGGATTGTCAATCTGGCATTGGTAATGATACATGTTGCTCTAGAAGCCACACTTTGTAAGCGTAGCCTATAACGTGACAAAGACCACGCTTTATAAGTGTAGCCTTATGTCATAAAAGCGTGGCTATATGAGAAAATATAAGTGTGGCCTTTGTACCGTATCGTCCACACTTTTAAAGTGTGGCTTCTAAGGCAACACCTACAAAGCGTGGCCAATAGTCAAAGGTTACGGTACTTTAGGCCACCCCTAAAAATCGTGGCCTAAAATCGTAAAGTGTTGCCTTTGCCCAAATGCTACACTTCTTGACATCTTAGGCCACACTTCTCAGGGGTGGTTGTAGGCCTAAAATGCGGTAGTGTAAGTACTTACTGTGTCCTGCTGATTGGTCTTGAAAGAAATGGCTTATTTGATAAAGTACAACCTAATAGAAAAGAAAGATGAGATTTAAATCGGAAAGCTGCACTAGAGAAATGTCTAAGGAAGAAACAGTGAGTGATCTTCTTTTTGCTGGAAACTTAGTCGGTTGAGACACAGGTCTCCAGACACTTTCCTTGAATAATTGGAGTACGGTGTAAACCTTCTCAAGAATATCATACGGATTTTTTCTACTCCAGGTATGTTAAGGCTATCCTTTCTTTCTTTTGGCATGATCCATACGATACGAACGAAACGTGCAAATGCACAAATTTTATACATGACTCATAGAAGTATTATGTTCTTGAATTTCCATGTGTCATAATATATTATCTTCTGCTCGTGGGTCTCAGAATAATACACAGTTGGAAAAGTTCATCCGGAAGGAATATCGAGATTATTATGTATTTGTCATGCATTTCACTCATTTATACATGTGCATTGACCCATGACCAGATGGCGTTATATACGCGTATTATGTAAATATATGTATATGGGATATGAGAAAAGGTTATGGCGTTATATACGCACCACTACCTGATCAGCTGGTATATGATGATGATGTTGCCCACACTGGCTAAAATATGATTCAAACGACTTTATATACGCATATATATGTAAATATGATTCAAACGGCGTTATATACGTGTATATATGTATGTATATATGTATATGAGATATGGGAAATGTTATGACGTTATATACGCACCACCACCTGATCAGCTGGTATACGATGATGATTTTGCCCACAGTGGCCGATATGATATGATGGGATGCCCTCAGAGGCTGATGATGTTATGAAACATGTACCTATGCATGACATGACATTCATACGCATATACATGACGTTAAAAGTAATTTATGATTTACAAAGTTATTCAGACTTACAGGTTGAGTCATGTACTCTATATTTCTTCCATGTTTCTTATGTACTTATTTATGTGCCTTACATACTCGGTACATTATTCGTACTGACGTTCCTCTTGCCTGGGGACGCTGCGTTTCATGCCCGCAGGTCTAGATAGACAGGTCAAGAGCCCTCCATGTAGGCTATCAGCTCAGCGGAAGATGTTGATGCGCTCCATTTGCTTCGAAGTTGCTTGTTTGGTTAGTATGAGTTAGACGTATATTGTTTGGTATGGCGGGACTCTGTCTCGACCTTTATGATATTTATGTATTCTTAGAGGGTTGTAGACATATGTCGTGTACGTGAAAGATTGTACAACCTTGTCGGCCTATGTTTTGAGTTTATAAATGATTATGTTGGCCTATTAGGCCCGTATGTTACGTGTATATGATGATGTAATAAGAAAGATACGTTACGTTGGTATTCGGTTGAGTAAGGTACCGGGTGCCCGTCGCAGCCCATCGGTTTGGGTCGCGACATGCGACTGGTCTTCCGCATCTGCGAGGGTTGCACCTGCGGCCTCCCAACCGCAGATGCGGTTATGACAACAGTCCTAAAACTTTAGTTGCCATAGCCAAATTCCTATCCTCCCGTCAACCACCCGAAATCACCCCGAGGCCCCCGGGACCTCAACCAAACGCAACAACAAGACCTATACCACTATCCAAACTTATAACAATCTTAAAAATACCTCAAACAATATCGAATCAAACAAAACACATCGGATTCAAGCCTAAGGTTCCAAAAATCTTCTGAATTACGCTTTTGATCAAAAGGTCTACCAAACCACGTCCGAATGACATGAAATTTTGCACACACATCTCAAATGACACAACGGTCCTACTACAACTCCCGAAATTCCATTCCGACCCCTATATCAAATCTCACATACCAACCAGAAAACGCCAAAATTCTAATTTTGTGTTACGCCCCGCAGTATTACGTCGATGTTATGCTCTGCAGTAATATATTACGATGATGTTACCCTCTACAGTAGTATATTACGATGATATTATGTCCTGCAATATTACACTACAGTGATGTTGTGCTTCACAGTATTATGTTATGACAGTGTTGCACCCAACAATATTATATTATGATGACGTTACGCTTCACAATATTAAGTTACGACAGTGTTGCACCAAAGAGTATTACATTACGATGATGTTATGCTTTGCAGTATTAAGTTACGACGATGTTGCACCATGTAGTATTGTACGTTGGATTTGTCGTATGGTAATTGACATCAATCCAAGTAAAAGATTGTTTGGAGATTATAAGGATTATGCTATTTAACAAGTGATGAATAAATTCGTAAAGGTGGAAGGGGAAGCAAGTCAAAAAAAATGAATTTTTCGTCCAAGTTTGGCATATTGGGGTAAAATACGGTCTGAGATAAAATACTCGGTATTTATGGACTAGTGACATGGAAGGTACGACATGCCCATGCTAGAAAGGTGTATAAGGTATGTGAAAAGTGAGTAATATTTTAAGTAAGTGAAAATAATTCTCAATTTTTTGGGTAATTAGTTAATTACCGGGTAACGGGACATTACTTGATTAACCAATAAGTGGATAAAAACTTAATAATTATCCCCAAACACATGTGACAAGAAGCCACCAAGATAACGAGTGACTAAGTAGTCACTTATTATGCCACCTAGGCATAAACAATATTGGAGGATTAAGTTATCTGCCAAAAACTCCATATGAATCAAAAGTGACTCCAAAACAAAGTTAGTCTTTCAATACTTTAAAGAAACATAAAGCGTTTCCCTTTGAAATTCTAATATGAACCAAAGGAATTCAAAAACATTGAAGAACGTAAATCCTTAAAATTCTTAAGGAACCAGAAACGTTTTCCTCTCAAATCAAAATTGGTTGTTTCGTTCCAAAATTTTGAAGAACCAGAAACAAGTTTTCGTTCATGAATTTCTAAGGAGCGGAGGCAAATTTTATTCAATCAACGAAGGTTTTCCAATAAAATATTATACGGAGTTTTCCCTACTCCAGGTGTGTTAGGGCTAAGCTTTTACTTCATTTTAGCATGATCGCATCATTACATAGGTTTGATAACGAGTCATAAAGAAAAATTCATATCCCGGAATTTACGTATATTTGGCTAGTCTCGCAAATTACGTATATTTTCCTAGTTTTGTAAGTTACAATATTGGGACTTCATATTCAATTGAGTATTTTCTTCTTCTAGTCAAGAGCAGAGTTTTTATATATAGATAGTATTAAAAGCATTTTCATTCCCATCGAGCTATAATCGATGGGCAGACCGCTATTGAGAAACCTCTGATCAGATGGTAAGTTATATACCGAGCCTACTATGGCCTAGAGCTTATGAGCGAGCCCAGTTGGTCGAGATATAGAGCCTAGTATGGCCGAGCTCCTATGAGTAAGCCTACTATGGCAGAGAAGTTATATATATACCGAGCCTTATATGGCCGAACATCTATTTTACTTACTATATTAAGAGAGTTGAGTCAGTATCAGCAGGTAAGCATATCTTTAGATTATCTTTGACTTCCAACTACTTCCAGTTATTATATTATTAGTTTGGTTTCAACTTTCAGTATATTGCCTTACATACTCAGTACATTATTTCCTACTAACGTCCCTTTTTTGGGGCGCTGCATTTCATGCGTGCAGGTCAGACAGACAGACGGGTAGGCCTCGTTAATAAGTGTTGCTTGAGTTCAGCTTGATCGGCAAGCTCCATGCCTTTTGGAGTTGCCGGGTCTAGAGTCTTATGTATATCTTGTTTATATATGTATATATGTTGTGAGTAGGTCAGAGAGTTATCCCGATCATAGTATGTCCATAAGTAGAGGCTTGTAGACATATCCTGTTAGTTAGTGCAGCATGTTAGGCTTATAGGCCTTGTACGTATATTTGGTTGGTTTGTCAGCTGTAGTAATGATGATGTTCCTTGTCGGCCCAGCTTTATATTGATATTTAGTCAGCATTCGCAGTTGTCTTTCAATGTGGCCCATGTCCAACATATGACATCATATGTACAGAGTTCCTTAGTTGCAAGTTGGTACGCAAGGATACGTGAGGCGCGGGTGCCAGTATCGCCCCCAAGTTCAGGGCGTGACAAAAATGGTATCAGAGCAGTTCTATCCTAGGGGGTCTACAAGCCGTGTCTAGTAGCGTCTTGTTTATGGTTGTATCATGCACCATACTTATAAGTAGGAGGCTACAGGGCATTTAAGACTGTCACTCTTTCTTCTTACTCTAGATCGTGTGGTAGAGCTCACTTATAAGAATTCAAGTCCCGAACTTCTATTTTTATTCGTAATAAAATGATGCCTACGTTTAGAAATATGATCTATAAGAGATATAGCTCTGGAAGTGTTGAATTAGTGGAACTCGACTTTGTATCATGCTTATGATAAGTAAGTGTGAGGTCTTCAGCAGATCATGCGCGTACTGAATGGTGTAAGCCTCTTGATAAGAAGCCTTAAGGCAAGAA